ATATATATATATAGATGCAGCAATACCTTGGAAAATGTTTTTGAAATTGTCGTGTGGATGATAAATTTAAACCCTTTGGGACGGGTGTTTCATAAATGCATTCCTAAACAATCAGAATCGAGATGAAAAAGAATAAAAAGCGGTAGCTTAAATGGCTAATTTGGAAGACTTACTTTGCTTTCACTTTAATAAATCTCAGTCTAATCGCATATCTAATCACCATTAGTTCAAAGTGTAAATATATAGAATTTTTGTTATTTTAAATTAAGTAATCGTGATTTAAATAAATCAAACTTATTATAACCCCTTCTGCTGCTTAACTGCTAAAAAATAACTGCTAAAAAATTATTTTGGTTACCAGTTTCATCTTTTTACTCTGATTGATAAACTTTCATGCTGGTTCGTATTTGTGATAGTCGGAATGAAAAGTTAATAGACTTGATATACCTTATCTACGTTTTAATCAATTTTTTAAGGTTGAATTTACCCTGAGGCAGAAAAATATATCAGGGATATACCACTATGACTTACATTTCAAATTATTCATATTTAAAACAAATACATTGTATGCAATATTTTTCATTACTAAATTTTAAAAAAATATTGCAAATTTTAATTTTTTAATAAACTTGAGAAGTTTATTAGTCACCCGTAGTAATACTAACGTATGTAATCTAATATAATGTGTCAAAATCGAGTTTCTTTTAAATAATAAGTTAGAAATAGTTTCTGTATAAACTTTACAAATATATCCATGTAATATGCAATAAATTAAGTAGACTTAAAAATAATTCCACCACCTATCTTTAAATTGAAAGATCAATTTACCTCCAATATGCCTGCAATTTAAAAAAAAAATTATAAATGAAAACTATTATTATTCACAAAAACAATTAATGGGTTTGAATTTTTTAAAAAAAAGGAAAAAATAAGCATATCTCGGTAATTTTTTTCAGCTAGACAATGGGAAAAAAATCACATTTTTGTAAATTCTCTCCACTAATTTCAACGTAATAATTAGTTTTTTCCCCCGTGAACCAAAGTGCGCATGAACCCAAAACCTTTTATTAAAGTAATTGAGAGAAATTTATCATATATATTTGAGAATTGAATCTGTAGTGGTTGACAAGTAAATAAGGCAAACTAATAATATTCATAAATTAAAAAAAAAATTTTGTTATATATTTGCTACCACTTTCTTATTTTAACTAGATTTTGTATTATGTGACTCGTTCGGAAAGTGGATATCCTTCACAGTGGTCTGATCGGACTACCTTTAAAAAACCATATGGAGGCTTTCAGTTACAGGAGACGTTGGAGAAAGTGATAGCAAATATACGTCTAAAATATTTTTTAATTTATGAATATAATTGATTTGTCTTATTTACTCGTCTACCAGCAAAGATTCAATTATCAAATGTCTCTAGAATGTCTATAGAAATGTCTATAGAATTATCTCTCAATTACTTTTAGAATAGAATTTGGTTTCATGCACACCACTGATTCTCTTATTAAGTAGTAAGCGCAGACTACTTTTAATAAACCGTGTGGAGGCTTTCTGATGTAGGAGGTGATGGTCCTAGTCACCTCATTGGGAGGTGAGATCTCTATCACCTGAGCCACAGAGACTCTAGATTGGTACTTTATAAGCTGTCAGAATTTCCATACGATAACTGTGGAATATACAGAATCGTATTTCCGATAAGGCAATCTCGTCTTTTTTCTTCCAATTTATACATTTGGCTTATCCAATGGCTTTGGCCGATAATCGGCAATTGGGCGTCACCCGTAACAGAAGGATGAACTCTGTCTTTCAAGGCTATGGATGTATTATTTATATTATATCAAATTTCAACCACGTAAGAAACAGCGAAACTGTTTAAAGGTTTTCAGATAATTGTTTTTTTATTAAACAGCGAGACTTAACCGACATGAACCCAATTAAGTGATTGATAAAAATATTAAAAATTAAACAAGCTTACCTGGTCCGCGATTATCGTTATCAGCTAAGAAGCAAAAATAATTATGAGAATTACACATTTATTTATAAATGGTTCAGTGATTTTTATGTTGAGTATGTAAAACAAATTAAAAAAAAGTGCAGAAAAGAACTAAAATTTATCTTCAGTTTGATTTAGAAAAAATAAATTAAAACATAAATTTGTTTTACAATTGAAGAATTTACTACTTTGAAACTACATATTTTGTTTTTCATATTAGTCTTTCGCTATTAAGAAAAGAAGCAGCCATGCCAACTACTCCGGATTCGACAAATAATTTTTTTAAGAAAAGGAAGTAAAACAAGGCAGAATTTTTCTACGAATTCGTGGAAAAATTACTTAAAATGAAAAATACCTAACTAATGAACAACTAAAATACCTAACTAATGAAAAATACCTAACTAAGTTTGTTCCCACCAGAAAATATTTCTTTTATAGTGGAGCAAGTTGGCATCTGTGTAAACCCCTAAAGAACCTATTTCACATTTTGTTTTATTCTTATTTATTAAAAAAAGATTGATTAGTGGTAAATTTCTTATTTAATACTATTCGATTTGAATGGAAAAACATTTTTAATTGAAATACCCTTATTTAGAGTTAAAATCATATTTTATGGATATTTTTAAACTAAAGGTGGTAGCTAATTTTGGAAAGTATTCTCTTTGCTAAGACACAACTGTTCTACGTTTATTATTTTTTTATTTAGGTAGTTTTCTTGCCAAGAAAAAAATAAGGCATTGACATCTCTTGACAGGGAAAGGGCTTAAACAGCTTTAAAATTTTCTAACGTCCTGACTAAGTTAGAAATCTTATTCTGCAGGGGAGTTTACTTTGCTGGACGAAAAATTTCCATTTCCTGATCTATTCGTCGCATCTTGACAGGATTCGTATCGACCAGCTATATCTCGGATTCGAATCCGGTTTACCTCATTGCAAATCTGTATAGTATAAATAAAAATATAGTTTATTAAGTTAAATATTTTGCTACTTACCACACAGGACTGAGCCCACTAAAAGAGAAGTAACAGATTAAAAGAGAGTAAATTCCATAAATTAAAATAAGGGATGATACAACTGAAAGAATCTACATTTATATTACGGAGAATAAAATATAAATAAGTGCTTTATTCTAAAACAATGAAGTGCTGTGAAAGCAAAACTGAACAAATAAAGAGTAGTAGTTTAGTTAGGATTAAATGTTGTGGATAACTTCCATTTGCGCATTAATTTATAAAAACAATTATATTAAGAGAACGTCAAAGTTTTATATTTTATACTCCTTCTGTCCCGAATTAGTTGTTGCACTTGAATGTTATTGTTCTGATTATTAAAACGAGGATTTTATGATTTTGTTTGAACATTTTTCAAATCAAGTATTTATCTCTTACAACGTAACTTACAACTCTTCCGCCAGTAATCTTCTAGCAAATGAAACGTGAATTCATTAGTAGTGTAATTTTACTGTTGTCGATATCTTTTAAACTACATAGGAATTTATGTCAATCTACTTGAAACGTAGCCACTAACTTAGGGCAAAATTTTTGACCAGAATGTTGTACTTATGTCGATATCTTTTAAACTTCATCGGGATTTATTTGTCAATCTGCTTGAAACAAAGCCACTAACTTAGGGCAAAATTTTCGACCTGAATGCAGTACTTATGTCGATATCTTTTAAACTGCATCGGAATTTATTTATGTCAATCTGCTTGAAACGTAGTTACTAACTTAGGGCAAAATTTTCGACCAGAATGTAGTACTTATGTCGATATCTTTTAAACTGCATCGGAATTTATTTATGTCAATCTACTTGAAACGTAGCCACTAACTTAGGGCAAAATTTTCGACCTGAATGTAGTACTTAATATGGGATGGAGAGGGTAATTGTTAGACTTTTCGGGACGGGCGAGTCGTGAGTGTAGTCGAACGGAATTAGAATGAGAATAGTAAAAAATAAAAAGCGGTAGCTTAAGTTTGGGCATAGCCAATTTTACAGATCTATTTTTGCTTTCACTTTAAATCTAACACTTCCAATCCTTACATGTTTAAAGTGTAACTGTACAATTTTGAATTCGGACAGAGTAGTAGTGAATTAAATAAAGCAAACTATTATTACCCCACCATCAAATAAACTTGAAAACGAGTTTTATCTTTTTTACCCTGATTATCGAAACCCTGAGAATGCATATATGACTCACCCGTCTCGAACACGTTAAACATTTTCGTTTTTATTTCATCTTAAACTGAGTATAATTGAAGATTTTTGCTACGCGATTTTTCATAAAGTTTAAAAACCTCGATGAGAATTATCATTAAACTGAATGATAGATACAGTTAAAACAGAGTACCTATCCCTGAAGGATATTTTCTCCCTCATCTCAAATAAACGAATTCAGGGTAGGAAAAGGCGGAATGATCATTACTGGGCTGGTAAATATCCCGTTTAGAGTAGAGTTTAATTTTAAATATGACCCCCGAGTCAGAGATCGAGAGAATTGTGAAAAGTTGCGTTTCTTTTAAACTTTTGAATCATTTGCAAGCAGTGGTGTGCTATAGTGGTAAATTTTAAATTAAATTTATAAAATAAAGAAGGGAACATGAAAATCTAAATGTAGCTGCTACTAGAGGAATTTCTGTCCAAAAAGCGTAAAAAGTTTGCAGTCCTGCTTTCATTGGGCAGCAACTAAATGTCTGCCATTTTTACGGATTTCCCGGATGTTTTTTTAATAGTTAATATAGTAGTGAATTTTATATATTCACACTTTATCCTTATTCAGGGTTTCCACAGGCCTTGTAAATTTTAAAATGTGGTAACGTAAATTAAACTTATTTGGATAATTTTAATTCTGTGTAACCACCACTAAAAAATGTTTTCCAAAGAAAGTATATAGAGTTGAACATTTCAGTTTCTAAACCAAATTTCCATCATGTCGATATATTACCATACCTGCCAACTTTCACTCTTTCCGAGAATGGATTTTCAGAGTGGCTGTAAAACAATAAACGAAAAACAATCTGACTCAAAAATATATTTATATTTTGATCCCGTTGAAATTCGCTTGCGCAAGGATTATTATGCTTTCATATATTTATTGTAATTATTTGTATGTAGTGGTGGTCAAACTCATTTATAATTATTATTATAATTCAAAAAATTAATTCGAATAACCTGAGAATTGCTACCACTTTAAATATGAAAGTAAAATCTTCCGGCAAATCCGGAAGAGTTGGCAGGTATGTATTACTCATGATAAGTTTTATTTTTCAGGTTCATCTGAACTAGTAGAACAGCAGTACTACGTATGTCCGTTATGGGTATTTTATGATGAATGGGAAAAGGACCAGCTTCTAAACCACTTAACTACAAAGTGGTAGACTAAAATGAGAAATATCTTAACCTTAATTTACCACCACTACAAAAAATGTTCAAGGACCACGGGAACCTCTTATTTGAATAAAAATGATTTTATAATGACTTTCACTTAATTATTTCAATTACATTCAGGGGTTCAACAAAATAACGGAAGCACTTCAGTACTAACTCTGTGTAAACGATATTTCTTCCAGCAACAAATGCTTTGGAAGATCTTACATGGCAAAATTGTTGACATACTTTAAGAGATCCTGCTTGAAGCTTTAGGAATTGATGTTCTTTTTACCCACGCCAAATTTAAAAAAAAAAAATTGAGCGTAGGAAGTTAAAAGCCGATTTCCTTTTCCAATACCACTGTAATTAAAAACGCTTTCTAATGTACGAGATAAATATTGCAATCCTGTAGAATGATTTCTAAGTTACTAGTATTAAAGCTAAAAAAAAAGTTATTAACTTTCAACCCTCAATTGCTTGACTTGTTTCTTGGGGTGGTACATAGGTAAAAAGGCATAATTTCTGAAAGCTTCAAGAATGACATTCCTAATTGTTCCAAGGAATTTTCTACGTAAAATCGTCCAAACCATCGGCTGTTAAGAAAGATTGTTTACATAGAGGTATAAAGCCGTTAAAAAAAGTTGATGTAAATTTGGCACTATTCTTGTTGTAGAGGTAAACTAAATAAATTTTTTTAAGTACAGAACTGTAGTTATTGGGTAAAATAGCAATTGTTTGAAAGAATTAGTACTAAATACTAATCTAAGTACTAAATACTAAGAATTACTGCTTAATACTAAGAATTAATTCTAAATACTGAAATATAATTCTAAAAGTGTGGTTGTTTACAAAACGAAATGTTTTTGCAATAAAGTCATAAATTGATTCTAATGCGATTGAAAATATGTTTTGACAGTAAACAAAGAAGGAATGAATAAATATATCTGAATAAATTAAAAAATGTGATGATATGCTCTGTATAAATTTTAGTGTACCTTAAAACCAGAGATGCCAACTTGCTCCCGACAGCGAATTGATATTTTCGAGTAGTAGTTTTTTATTGTATGATTACTGATATACGTAATATTTTTTCTCACCACTACTTCTAAACAATTCAAAGGGATATATATTACGCCACCTTTTAGTGGTTATTACGTTTTGAACCTAGTAAGAAGTTGACATAGTTAATCGAAAATTAGTAGATATTAGTTTGTAGTTCTTCACCGTTTTTTGAAGTATTTTGTTGATCTGGAGCAGCTGGCATCTCTGAAAAACACTGAAAATTGTGGCAACTTTGCACCGAAATTTTTTCACGGTGTATAATTTTATTTGCAAGAATATCACCGTCGAATTAAAATCTATTGAAAGCGATTAAAATTAATTACTTTTTCGAGTATATTTTTTGAAATTCATTATTGAAGAGCATTGTAAAGAATGTTTTCAAATTAAATGCGAATAATTTTCACTGCATGTCATGATAGTAGTTATTGAATAATTAAATAAAGTAAGTCAATAATGAATAATTGAGTATCTACCACTTTTTACATTTGTAGTTATCTCTGTATTTTGAATAAACCTTCTTGCTCTAGTTAGACTTCTGGAGTTTATCTCCATACCTACTAACTTGCATGGTCGTAATAATTAATTTTGAAATAGCATTATCATACCTGCCAACTTTCACTCTTTCCGAGAATGTATTTTCAGAGTGGTTGTAAAACAATAAATGAAAAACAATCTGACTCATAAATATGTTTATATTTTGATCCCGTTGAAATTCGCTTGGGTAAGGATTATTATGCTTTCATATATTTATTGTAATTATTTATATGTAGTGGTGGTCAAACTCATTTATAATTATCATTATATTTCAAAAAGTTAATTGGAATAACCTGAGTATTGCTACCACTTTAAATATGAAAATAAAATCTTCCGGAAAATCCGGAAGAGTTGGCAGGTCTGCAATATCATCATCAACATTTATATGGTCGCCTTGGGCCGTTAGCGGTCTTTTTTCCATTCGTCTTGAATTTTGATCTTAGGGGTGATTCTTTCTGGTAATTGGATTGCAATTGAAGTAAAAGGAAATTAAATATTTTGAATTTTAGATAAAATTACGTCACTATAAAAATGAGCTGCCATCGGTCCGAGATTTGAAATAACACTATAATGAATTATTTTATTATTAAATTAATTTAATTATTGATTTGTCGTGGTAGGTTAAAATATTTGTTTTTATATTTTAATTTCAAAATTAAAACCCTAAAATCGTTTATGTTGCTACCGCTAAGAAAATTATATCTCAACTGATGTGCATGTTGGCAGCTATGCATCTCAATATGAAAATACTTTAAGCGCGGTCTATACATATTTTATAACCGTTGTTGAACACCCGGCCCAATTTTGGGTTTACGACTCGTAGCCTTGTAATTTTGAACCCAATTCCAAAGACAAGGGAACTCTTGGATCAAGTTTTGGATAAATTTGCCTTCGTGGGGGACTTTTTGATGGAACTAACCCACATTGGTGTAACCCGGATGGCTCATGGAGAGGAAAACCTCATACGGTTAACCTGATGGCAAAGGGACTTTAACCTATGATTCGTCTACCACTGTAGTCGGTACGGCGGAATTCGAACCGGATCTGA